ATCGCAACAATACAACAAGAAAAAATGATCATAAAAACTATGCAGAACATTATTTTAAAAACGAGAGTTAACCAGTTTTTATTAATAAACGGAAAGAGAAAACATGGAAGTTGAGTGGTAAACGCTTCAAGTCTTATGTTTGTCGAAAATAGTTCTATTGTGTCGTAAAGCAGACAGAGCGGTTTTTTGTTGATTTTACACTTTCCGTAGTGTCCGTCACTAAGCAGTAAAGAGTAACGTCTGAAATATGACATAACGAAAATTTAATAGCTCATCTCGCTTAGTACGTGTCACAGTCAGTTTAAAAGTTTGATCGTTTTTTTATATGACAGTTTAAAAACTAATAAAACGTCTTCCGTTTTTTATGTGTTTGTGTTTTTTCTTCTCCAGTCTACAAAGTTGTAGTCAATGTGAAACAAATACAAAAAAAATCTTTTCAATTACTGTATTTTATAAGGACCTCCACGAATACTATCATGTGATTTTAATAAACCGTTTGTAACGTTTTTCTCAGTCAACGTGTACATATTTTGAGGGATATTGCTAGATAAATAACGTTCATAGACATGGTAGAATCTAGCATGCATGTTTTCATGAGATGAAACGTACGTACGATGATGATGATGATAATAATAATAAAAGTCTATTTGCAACTTAATTCAATGAAATAAATTAAAAGTTCAGCTTTGAAATTAGGAGAAATAAACATGTAGAATTCAAAGGCTGATGAAATGGAAATGTGTGTTTTTGAAAATAATATGTCTGTGTTATATTTTTGTGCCCAGGTTAGAAAAAAATTATAAGTGTTATCGTAGAGTTGCTTAATAGTTTTTTTTTCTTTTGGACGGTCACGTTAATATATATATATATATATATATTTTTTTTTTTCACGTTAATAATGGTGACATAATATTGATGAAGAAACACGTCGCTATTGATAATAACAGCGCGCCTGATTATTCTCAGCGTTAAAACATTAAACAAATCCCCACAAAAATGAAGATTCCACAAATAAAGAAGAAAAAGAAATGGCCTGATTATGGAAATTTTGCATGCAAATTTCTTTTCAGAAAGGCCCATAAATTAACACAAATCCACGCTTAGATTATGGGTTATTGATCGAATGTGACCCCCAGTTATGATCCCAAAGTATTAAGTTTCAAGCGAATAGATCTACTCTCAGTAGTTATGAAATTTAATTTTCCCTTCAAAACTTTAACCAAATTTTTTCTTTAAAAACCCCCAAAACAAGGTTAAAATTCTAATCAGTCAAATCCACACTATCTAGAGCTACGGGTCTTTTAATTAAGACACCCCAGTTATAATCTCAAAGACATATTTTGAGTTTAATGCAAAGATAAGACATGAATTATGCAAAAAAGTTAGACGCAAATCTTAACCAATTAGACTCAAGTATTCTTTAAATATTCGGGCTAAAATTGATATAGCTTTTTACAAGTTATAACAGTACTTTACACAATTTATAATTTTAAACGTCGTTTTAAGCTTTTCTTATAATGAATAATACATTTTAACGATTTTTAATATAATTATGACAAAACGTACATGTACGAATCTTAGTATTTTATTCCAATATTCCATAACTTTGCTGATAAACATTTTAAAAATATTAACTTACCAAATAAATCCAATGCCAGAATTTCAATTTGAACACCATTGTTAATTTCACGCTTTGGAGAGAGTAAAAGTTATTCAATTTTTTTTGCATTAATATTTAACTCCTTTAAAAGTCCTTACACTAAAATATATACTTTTCTCAATAAGTCGCAAACTTGTATGATTTTGATTGTTTTTTCTTAGTCCTTAAATCACAATTACTAATTTACGTCTACCGAAATCATCATGGCTTCTTACAAAGAATGAGATGTTAAAACCCGTGTTTAACACTTGATATAAGGTGCTACTTTTGGATATTTTTCACCTACTGTTTGCCGTTTAACTTGTTATAACGCTTGAAAACAACACAGAACACTAGATGTAGTTAATTGTTCCGGATATGTAAGACTGTTTTTATCATGGGTTATGCTGAAATAAAATATTAATGTCATCACTGTAATCCTATTAAAACACAATGCGTATTAAAAATTAAACTTACCTACTTTTGAACTAGATTCTGAATATCTTTTTTCTTTCAGAGAAAGGAAGTATGAATAGCATTAAAAATATTGTGACCTTTTTACTAATCGTCTGTGGGCATTTCTCTGTAGTATTTGAGACTGTATTTGTGCTTTTTTTAAATTTCAAAATGCATTTTCAATTTCAATACATTAAATAATATACCTATACATGTATATAAGGTGACTGGTTATAGCAGACGACATGATATCTCCATTCATTCAATAACAACCCAGCTTCAACTTTTGCATCTGTCCATTTTCATTCATTTATTATTATTATGATTATCATTATTATTATGTTTATTATCATTATTATTATTATTATTATTATTATTATTATTATTATTATATTATTATTATTATTATTATTATGTTTATTATTATTATGTTTATTGTTATTATGTTTATTATTATTATTATTATTATTATTATTATTATTATCATTATTATTATCATCATTATTTTTATTATATAAGTATATAATACTTATAAAGCCTAATCCCACCACGGCAGATGGGTGGGTAGTCTGGTCTAGCCCTATACTGGAGACTAAGGATGATAACACCCGGTTCTAGCAGGGTAGAGGTAAAAAACATATCAAGTTTTCGTCAAAGGACGGGGTACTGAGTTTCCTTATATCGTGTTCTGACTCACGCCGGTAAAATTCAAATAATTCCTTATGTCCTTGAAATGAATATGGTTTCCGTCTTGGAGGAAAATGCAAATCTGGGTTTTTTAATGTTTTGATTATGGATTTAGAACATGTTAGAAGTTTAACACGTGAAGACAACAGCGTTGAATGTATAATAATGTTAAGATACATAACAGTAGCAAGATGTAAACAAAGTTGCATTTTTTTTCAAATTATAATACTTTCCAGAGGATATTCAAGAGTTTTTTTTTCCTCTAAAAATACAGGATGGATTTCCTTCGAGTGGTATGAAAATAAATAGTTCACGAAATATGATCATTTTAATACCACAAGATGAAAATAAATCCTGTATTTATGTAAAAAAAAGAATTTCTGTTTATTTAACACGTTTTTATCTGTATGAAATTACAATGTGAAAGACTTCCCCTTTGTAGTTTGTGTACTGGCTGAATTTAGAGGAAAGTAGTCCGGCAAGGCACCACTGCAAACGCGGAAAGTAGGTTTCGTTGCAGTGAAAATACGGAAAATGAAAATACGCATTTATTTCATAAACATTTCTCAATATTTCAATTATACTCGTAAGAAGACGTATATAATAAATCACTTTATAGAGCTCTACTGATACAAAAGAAGAAGAAGAAAAAAACTAGAAATGTGTCAATAGGACACGGGTGCCCCCACCGCGCCACTGTTCTGTCAATCTTTTGACTAAGTCAAGGGAAATAACTCTACAAATACTGGATAAATCCACAAGCGAAACCCCAGGTGCAAATCAAAATATGCTGAGCAACCTGCCTGTAAGGTTTAATGAAAATGTCAAATCCTTTTTGAGTAACTTGCGACACAAGTTGAAAATTGCAAAAATTTTCTAAGTGAAGGGCAATAGCTCTAAAAATACTAAATAAATCCAGACGAAAATACCTGGTGCACAACTGCACATGCTGATCAATATTCCTGTAAAGTTACATAACTCTAGGTCAAATAATTTTTGAGTTACGTGAGACACATGTTGAAAATTGCAAAATTTTACTAAGTAAAGGGCAATAACTCTGAAAATACTAAAAATATCCACACAAAAAATACCCAGGTGCACAACTACACATGCTGATCAACATTCTTGTAAAGTTTCATGACTCTAGGTCAAATACTTTTTGAGTTATGTGCGACACAAGTTGAAAATTGCAAAATTTTAATAAGTCAAGGGCAATAACTCTGAAAATACTAAAAATATCCACACAAACAAAAGTACCAGGTGAACAACTACACATGCTGATCAACATTCCTGTAAAGTCATGACTCTAGGTCAAATACTTTTTGAGTTACATGCGACACAAGTTGAAAATTGCAAAATTTTACTAAGTCAAGGGCAATAACTCTAAAAATACTGAAACTATCAAGACGAAAATACTCAGGTGAACAACAACACATGCTGATCAACATTCCTGTAAAGTTTCATGACTCTAGGTCAAATACTTTTTGAGTTACGTGCGACACAAAAGTGAACGAACGGACGGACGGAAGGGAGAACGGACAAACGGACAGACGGACATGGCTAAGTTTAAATGCTCGCCACTAACATAAGGGCACAAAAAACGACTAAAAATCTATTCATTAACACCGTTCATTAACATATTAAATCCTCTGTCTTATTGTAAGGCGGCCAACAGTCTCAAAATTACTGCAGCCTTTGGATAATACAATTTTCATAACATGCAAATTGGTGTAAGGTACTATAAAATGAAAAGAATTTGCCGAATTCATCATAGATAAACCCTTTGAACAGTTAAAGTTTTGTAACTTAAGATTTGCCGAATTCATCATAGATAAACCCTTTGAACAGTTAAAGTGTTTGTATCTTAAAATAATATCCTATAAACATGTATCTCCCTTTTTTAGAGTGTTGCAAACAGAAAAAAAATGTTTCGAACTAATAAAGGGTCCGTTTGAACGGTGAGGGGGAAAAGTAGTTTGAGTAACGGAGCATGAACGGAAAAATGTTTTATTTGTCATAAATACGCAGTTAATTTACATAATGTATGAAACCATGTCTCATGGCACGGAGGATCACTTTGGGTCTTTCCATCGCCATCACTGCTCGGGTTTGGCAATTTTTATATATAACTTTCTTACTGCTATAGAAAGGACAAAAATAGTAGCATGGCAATAATAGTATACTTAAATTAAAAAGTATGAATTTAGTAAGTTATTACCTTGAGTGCAGTAATGGCAATATATTATCCTTTTTCAGAATCATTTATTTTCATTATTTAAAATGATTTATCCACTTTTATCAAGGAAGTGTAGACATTAAACCAAATTCTGGCATCTTTACAATCGATTTGCTCTAACGAGTTTTACAAATTATCAAATACTTATTCATTCATCGCATAATGTATGTTTATGTGCGTAAAATGTGCAATTTTCAAGGTCGCAAAATAAAGTTACATGTACAGTATCATGAATGATTTACAACTGGGACCACAAATATACATTTGTGTCCAATAGATTAAATGTGCATAAGCCCTATTCATGCATAAATATACACGTATGATTCGGTATAATTCAGCGTTTGGTCACGTGTTTTCATAAAACGAAACCATTTTGTCATGCTTTCCACGTGCTAGTACAATGCCATTTGACAATTATGTTTTGAAAATGCAACTATCGAGCCCGTCATTGCAGTAATAAGCTATTTTACATAGAGACCCGGGTCACGCATATTGAAATCGTGCAGGCAACGATGCGTGGCTATCAATGCATTCTGTCGTCTCCATAAATGTATATTATTTGTATTCATATTCCGTGGTAAAGGTGATCATAAAAAGGGTAAATATGTTTTCGTGTTTTTTTTGTCAGTGTATAAAAATATATGTATCTCTGCGATGTAGCAAAATCGTTAAAAGCCGTCCAGTTAGCACTGCATAGATCCCTGACCTACTAGATTCCTGACCTTTTTAATTCCAATTATCAGATTAGAGAATACAATAAGAATTTTGTTAACAAAAGAGCACATGTTAATGTGTTTGGTTCAATCTATTGTTATTCAAATAAAAGGTCCGAATAAGGAGAACGTTGGACTGTAATTTGGCCGACACGGGTTCCAGTCCCGGACGGTCACTTTCGTTGTGATTCATCAAGAAATCCGTTCTACGGTCATTTGCACTGTACCTCTGCTCTGGCATGTACAGAAATTACTATCAGTTTCTTGCTAAAGTGAAGGCATCTAATAATGGTAAAGTGCTTGACAACTTACCAAGGAACGATGCGGTAGCTGGCCTTTTTATATTTAATTCATTTTAACCAATACCGTCAGCACCCTAATTTCACCCTACCATCAGCTCACATATAAACCAGAATGTATATAGGGAATGCTTCAAAATTGTCATTAGAACCATTAATTTTTTTAAGTATTTACATATCACAGAAAAAGTGTTAGCAGTTAAATCGGAGTAAATGCATTTACACATTTCTGACTTAATTTACTTCATTAATATTAATAAAGATAACACAAATTTTAAGGAAGAGGTTTATTTATAATTGAACAACCTTCGGCAGCTTTCATAAACTATTTGTATTTTTCGGCGGGAAAATTGAATTATGTTTTGTCATTTTGATCCCGGGACAACAGTTCAAACATTGTAAATAACATGTAAACATCTGAAACACAAATAAATGCTATCATGCGATCTGCGATCTGCTTTTGGTAAAAGACATACATTTAAAATACTCACATATTCGAAATATCTTCAAAACTCAAACCAGCATAATGATAAAGTCCAAAATAGCACTTGATCACATATGTGAATTTCTTATTTTATTTGTTATATGGGTAGAGAAAATAGAACAATCTATGTGTTCAAGTGTGATTTTGTTAAAAGACTCCAGGCAATGGATTAATATACAGTTTTAATAATCTCGGTTTTACGGGAAAGTTTAGAAAACGAAAAAATACCGTTCATCTTAGATAATCGCCGTCCGCCCATTTAGGGATTGGTATGCAATTATATCAACTCATACGCTACTTTAGCATCTTTGTTTGCCAGGAGGTAAGTCTCTTTGTTTCATAAGCATACCAACTCAGTTCTCGATACGTTTTTTTGCGTATTTCTAAAGTGAGGTAGTTTGATGATAATATTGATTATAATAATAAAAACGATGATGATGATGATAATGATAATAATAATAGTAATAATAATAGTAATAATAGTAATAATAATAATAATAATAATAATAATAATAATAATAATAATAATAATAAAAATAAAAATAATAATAATAATGATGATGATGATGATGATGATGATGATGTTACTGATGATGCTGCCGCTGCTGCTGATGTTCATGATGATGATGATGATGAGAAGGGCGACGACGCCGACGATACATTAAGCAAGAGGAACGAATATTCTTAACACAAAAGGTAACTTCCACATACACATGACGGGATATTATAAGTAACTATATAAGTTCTAGCCCTGTATATCAATTTTCTATGAAATTAAAGAGGTCATGTCAAGTCATCTGTTGAACAAAGTAATTACAAAGGAAACGTAATTCGTTAATGACATGTCAGTTAATTTACGAACTATAATTATATTATTGTGTCATTTAAAACTTTTATTGTGAAGTTGAGACCATATAAACAATGGTAGATATATAGATATAAAACGAGAATGCGACTCATTACTAAAGTACGGCGGGATGGGGCATTTGATGTTTGCTTCGTCGATGGTTTCGTTCTGGCTCGTATCATATGGTGGCTGATTTGGAACACTTTTGTGCGTCGTGTTGTCGCTAGCGACAGCACTACAAAAGGCCAAACGACGCGTTGTCGCACTGTCGTCTTGTCGTCATGTCGCTTACGATGCATGCCAAACGGCGCGTTGTTGTGCGGCGCGATGTTACATCGTCGGTCGGCTCAAATCGAAGGATTGGCTATTTGTATTAAGAGGATATTACATGAGTGTATGTTTAATACTCAATTGATTGAACAAGTTGAATAAAATCATATTATGCGAGCCTCTGGAGAGCAAAGATATTGTTTAATTCAACGAGTTTAATAAATTTAGTATTGTATCTACACGAATTTTATATTCTTTTTATCACATATTCAAAAACAGAACAGTTTACAGCTAAAATGAGTCATTTTTTCATTGATCGCTATATTTATATATAGTGCAAATGACGTCATGTCAAAGCGTTATTACACTAGTGTAATATCGATTTTATTTCATGGCTTTATTACACTCCTGCACCGCGGTTTATAATCTAAATATATAAAAGTCAAGCGACAGGGCGATATCGCTACAACACGTCGCACAACAACGCACTGACAAGACGAAAAGGCGATAACGATATACATGTACGTTTTGTGGTCGCTATCGACAACGCATCATACAAAGTGTACCAAATCAGCCACCATACGTATCCATAAAAAAATAAATAAGTATATTTATAATTTAATTTATTTCATTTAAGTAAACAACGTTAATAAAGGTTACGAAATAGAATTAATACAATTTAAAAAATGAACACAGAAAAAGCATGTGGGGAACTCCATATACATTGGCTTATAAATATTTGTAGTTCAAGAAAAAATATTATAATCGTAACCATCCGGCCATTTCCGCCAAACTTCGGACAAGGATTATGGTGGGAAATAGACGAGATGTTCCGGATGGCGAAATAAATATATAAATGAATAAATATATAATAAATACTGGAACATTGAGTATGTGTCAACTTAGAATGTCGTACAATCAATCTTTAAAATACCCATGAGTATTAACCGTCCCGTTCAACATAGTCATCGTCGATCTTTACTTTATGTTATATTTCGTTGTGTGTGAAAGAAGTCGTCATGTAACTGTCATGGCTTTAATTGCTTGTTCAAATAGGCAATAAAACATGGGCTGTGAGTTATAACAATTTCGTAAATGAGTTAACAGATTATATGACTTTTATATTTCAGATCCTATGATTTACTGCTTTTTTAAAAAAAAAATTGTTATGTTTCTTCAGATATGAGTAAGAGAATTAAAATTCAAAAAATATAAAATAAATCACATGTAGCACTTTTGAAATAGCATGGGGAAAGAAAATACTGCTTGCAATGGTTTTCGATCGGAATGAATGAATGATTGAATGAATGAATGAATGCAAAAAAGGTGGATGAAAATGAAATGTATCGAATGAAATTGAAATTCTGTTACATTAAATGTGTTAATTTTATCGTCTTAAATAGATTCCTTGAACAGTAATGATTTACAAAGCAATATTGAAAAGTGTTGAACCTCTTTACAACCAATCAATACTGCTTTACTGAAATATTTGTTGTAATTGTTGTGCTGCATCTATGGTCATTATTGAACGATGTCGTGAGTCATACATTTATTGGTTCTTTTAATAAGATAGAAACAAATAAAAAAGTCCTCTTCCACAAATACTAGCTCGGACTCTTCAATGTACGTTTTTTTACAGTATCGTCGAAAATTAGAGTTCAACCACCTGTCAACGTTCTATCTTTAAATTATACATAGTAACTGACCCAAGGGGAGTATCAGGCAATAAAACGTATTCCCGTATAAAACAGTGTTGTTATATATTTAAAACCAACATACTATATGTTAATGTTCACAATCTAAATATTATACTGTATGTTTTATATCAAATATATGATAAAAATTTATTTCGAATCACGAGTAGAAACGTAAATAACACTGTTTTAGAGAAATAAAATGCAAATAAAGAATTCGCTTGCAGACATTTTTGTATGTAATACATATTCAGTTGTGTTATAATGTAACGAATAACGATGTGCTACTTGTAGTCTTGCGTCAAACTGTGTGTTTGATATATATAATGAAAAGAATTAAAAAACTAAATCGTTTTCTCGAGACATGTTTTGTTTTTATTTAGCTTCCTCGGTTGACACACAACAACGTTAATGACGTTAACGCGTTGTATAGACGTCAGCGAATACTTTGAAAAGTACATACACAACGAAAACGAACATTTTGATTCGTCGGTGAGAATCTCGCACGGCAGCAGATCGTGTAAATTAAAATACTATTTCCAAAGAAAACCGACGTCCTTGTTAGTACAATATACTAATAACATCATGAAATACGTATCTCTTAATTACGAGATTCATTTGTTTTTATTTCGGCATCGCATTTTGTATTGGGTTAAAATGCCTTTATTTTTACTGTCAATATTCGACCGTTTTGCATAAATCAATGAGTAAATAAGTAAAAATTCAAAAATAGTTAAATTAATCTGAGTTTTCATTAATTGTATTATATTGTAATATTATGATAAAATGTTATGCATATAA